ACAGGGGTGGGGGGAAATCCGGCAGGTCGAGCTTGCTGAGCCCTTCCCGACCTGCCATTAGGACTGGCTGGGAGGGGCACCTGTGGAAGCGCCTGGTGGGTGCTGCTGCTCTGTTGGCCCTGGCTGCGAAGCGCCTGCGTGCTGAAAGATGCAAAGAACGGCTCGGTCGCTGACGTGGTTTCTCTGGGTTTGCTGTGCGAGGGGCGGTGCTGAAAGGACAGGAGGGCCACAGGAGGGTTAGGGAGCCTCTCAGTTCTCGTCCCGGGGTTCCCGCAGAGGTTGGACTAATGCCTGAGATTGCTCTTCGGTTACTGCATCCTTACGCCTGCCTGCAGAAGCAAGTACAGTTCGCTTTGATTATGCGCCGTCAGGTCGCTGTTAGTGACCACATGGGTAGATGGGCTTTCTCCGTGAGTCGTAAGAGACTTCGCCTTGATAAATGCAGTTTCGAACGATACCTAATTGCTGGCAGATCAAAGAGTGTGACTTCCACCGTGGCTGGTTCAACGTTTCTGGTGTTTGGCCGCTTTCGGTCTCCAGCGCTTGCTGCTCTGAGGTAGACTGCTTCTGAACACGGGAGTTTCACTCTTTAAGACTGATAGAGACAGAGGGGGTGGGCCAGGAATCCATCCAGTTCAGGATCTGGCTTGCCATAAGAGCCAGTTGGGTGCCTCTGCGATTCCTGGCAGGCTGCTGTTGCCCAATAATAAATATTTTTTAAGACTCTGCGCTGCCTTTGATCCTGCAGGCAGGTGTAACCATCAAGACTGGACAGAAATGGATAAGCTTTGCTGCCTCCATTTAGATAGTTTTAATCTGTTTTTTTCAGGGAAATACTCCCTCCCAAAGTAGCCCAGTCATCAGTTCATAGTCAGTAGGCGAGACTGGCAGCAGGTGCATTTTCCTGTTACTGAACCGTTTTGAGAAAACAAGGGAAGATATTTAGGGTGTGGCAGGAAACGGCCAGGTGGTGCTGATCGTCCGAGGAGCTTCTCCTCTGAGACGTTTAGCAGAGAACTGGTTGCGTGTCTCTGGCAGTTGCCAACCCGCTGGATAAGGGAGAAGTAGAGCGGAGTCGAGCAGCAGCCTTGTTCCAGACCCAATGAACTGCACTGTATGTAAGAAGAATCTCTTTCTTGTTTAAGGCAGGCAGCTGAGAGGAGAGGTGGGGTTATAGCAGGGTAGTTGTGAAGGGGCCTGAGGGAAGGAGAGGCTGCTTTCCTTGGGCATCTCGTGGAGGAGACCTGGGTTGACTTCAGGTGTTCAGGGCATCCTCCGTTGTCTACCCCCAGTCACAGAGCCAGATGATCTTCCTTCTTTTGCTTCTGTTCTGAAGTGCCTCCTCTGTCAGTCAGATGCGCTAAATAAATATTGCAGAAGCACCTCGGGGCTGTGCCCTTGCTCTGATTCCTGGCATGTGAAGAGAACGGGGAGGTGCAAGTAGGCAGCATTCAACACAGTTTGTGGGACTCATACAGAGTGGCAATGTAGCACATTCAAAGGCTGAAGGTTTCTTTTGTGTTTTTGGTCATGTTCACTCTCAGAAATGGAAGCAGCTGTCCCGCCTTCAGCGGAGCATCATCCTCTTCCTCTTTGCCTGCTTGGTTGTCTGTGGAATCAAGACATATGCAAATATAGCTGACCCATGGAAAAGTAAGCCTGCTAGTTTTTCTACCACAAATTACTGCCGCACAGTTGTAATGGGCTGTTTTCGAAACAGCTAAAGCTGCAACCCTACACCTGTCTACTCAGAAGTACCGTATGTCCCTGCAGTTACCTGGAACTTACTCTCAAGTAAAAGGGATAAATTCCTACCTAAGCCTGTTTTAGAAGCCCCTCAGAGACTTTTTTTCTGGTATGTTGTGAAGAGCCACATGAATAGATGGTTCTGTACAGAAGAGCAATAGGGTTCATCGTGGGCCAATTCTGAAGCAGAAAAGGGACATTCTAACTGGTGGAATAAAATGAAGGGCCCCTTCTATACTCTGGGGTTATTCTGTTTTTGTGCTATTACTGTAACAAACAGTTTTTAAAAATTAAAACTTGTCCCAGCTTTTCAGACTGTTGTGTTCCAAATCTCCCAAGCAATACCTGAGTTGCATTTTTTATTATGGGAACAAGAAAGTTTGACAGAACAGAATGAATTAATTCTGATGGCTGGCCTGCCTGCCGGCCGGCCTGCCTGCCTGCCTGCCTGCCTGCCTGCCTTCCTGCCTTCCTCCTTCCTCCTTTCTTTCTACCACATTAACGTTATCGGCGGCGGCGGCTGATTTCATCTCATTGCATCAGGTTCATGGCAATTAATTTCTCCATGCAGGTGCAACTGGCAGATCTTTGGAGGAACAGAAGGCTGATCTGGAGATCCCTGGGTTGAATCCAGCAAATCAGGCGATTCTCCCAATACCCCAGAAAGCTGATGCCAGTCTCAGGGACTTTTCACCTCAAGTAATTCCCCCCTCCCTCACCTCCCATAATATCTTATTGTAAGTTAAGGGGTGGGACAGCAACCTATAACACAGCTCAGCTGTACGTGGCCCTAATTGTTTGTAAATCTGGCCTTTGAACTTTCTACCTAGAAGGACTTTTTTAACTAGACTGATCCCCAGACTAGCCTTTACTGACTGAACAAAAGCGCTGGCATGTTCTAGGGTCCAGGTCTTTTTAAATGAATTTGGGATGCTCCTCTTTGCCATTTGCCCAAAGGGACTGAGAGTCCCCATAGAATGAATTTAGGAGGGGCCAGTGGTGGGAAGTTAGCTGACTTTAAGTGTAGCCTCTGTGTCATGACCAAACTCTCAGTTCCGGGTAAACTTGTGCTTAGTCCACTGAGGATTATTAAGGTAACTTAAGCAGGAGCTCAGCAGCGAAGCCTCGCTGCCAACCTCTGGCACTGATTCCTTGGCTCTTGCTTTTCAGAAACCTCCAAAACTGATTCCTGCCCGTCGAGGGCCTCCGAACCTGCAGATCAGGCCACCTTGGAGGGAGACAGAGGTGAAGTCCCAGGAGCAAGCCGTCAGAGGGGAGGGAAAACCTGGCCAGGCAGGTCAGGAGCATAACATGGAGAAGTCCGTCATTAGGTGAGCTGCTTGCTTCTCCCACTTCAGCCTACGGGAATTTGACTGTTCTAGACTCCTCTCCTGAGCCACTCTGCACAGCTGCAGGCAGGCGAGGGTACACACGTTAATGGTGTAGAAAGATGAGATTTCAAACATGGATTGCTAGATTGGCAGGTAAATGTGTCATAGCTAGAGTTGGAGCTTGAAGTTGAGCGGGATATAAGGCAGAGCTAACAGTGGTCTGATATGGGGGTCCTGGGAGCTCTGCCCACAAGGCTGAAGGACTGCCCATTCGTGCAGATTGGCAGGGAAAGCAGCTGTCAGAACCTGCATCACCCAACTGTTGTTGTTTTCCATTGTATTGCATTCGTTGGGAGTTGGATTGATTTGTTTCTGCCACTTGTAATTAAGGGGGGGGGCTGTTAATGGTTGTAAGGGGAGTTGGGAAGCAGCTTAACCATATATTGGCAATTTAGACTGACTTGATTGCCGGCCAGGCAGCTGGGGCCCAAAGAACCAGGAAGAAGCTCCGGGAGGAAGGAGGGAGGTAAACAACAGGTGAAGGGGAGTCACGACGCCAGGCAATAAGGGGAGGGGGGATAAATAGAGGGAGGTTTACCCAA